TTCGGAGACTTAGCTGGCGAATCCAGCACCGAACTTGGGAGTGAATCACCCGTTCACCTGTGCACATATGACCTGTTCTTTCGAAGAACTAAGTGACCATTTTCTAAAATGATTCTTGCGCGAACAGCTTTTGTTAATTTATTTTTTTTATAATTTTTAAAAATCCATACAACTGTTAGACCTTTACTTTTTGGTTCAGAAGATTATTTGTTGTTTTCTTTTTTTGATAAATGCGACGTAGATAGATTGCTTGTACTTTTCTAACGTTTGTCTACACTAATTGACTCGAGTCTTTTTTTCAGCAATTGTTAAACTACGTCAGATCTAACGAGCATGTGACTTTCTGTTAAATGAAGGCCATAAGTTCATGAAATGCATCTACATCTACAATTTAAAAATGTGTCACATTACGATCTTCCGTTATTATCCTACATTTTAATAAAGATCTATAATATGACTTTCCGTGAAATGAAGGCCATAGGTTCATGAAATCTACAATTTGAAAATGTGTCACATGACGATCTTCCGTTATTATCCTGCATTTTAATAAAGATCTATAATATGACTTTCCGTGAAATGAAGGCCATAGGTTCATGAAATGCATCTACATCTACAATTTGAAAATGTGTCACATGACGATCTTCCGTTATTATCCTGCATTTTAATAAAGATCTTCCGTTATTATCGATACTTGCTAGTGTACAATTCGACATTGGACAACGTTCTCGATGTTTACCGGAGAGTGAAGTATGACTAAAAACCAAAAGCAGTTTATTGATGTTCTTATAGTAAACCTCAAAGCGACTCAAATGACATTAGTGTTGCCAATTCTAAAGAGCTATTCAGTTTTCTATGTGTTTTATGAATTCTATCTATTATTATATTCTATTCTGTTATAAATTCACACAGTCTTCTTAATGTACATTGGCTTTAATGACTCCAATTCATCCTATATAATTTTTTCATTATGTAGGTTATGTGTTCTAAAGATAAGAGATATATTGTAAAATTCCTGTTTTGCTGTGCTATAAGTTTTATAAATAAAACTGTGTACTACTGTGTAGTATAATTATAGTCTGACAAATATTTTTCAATAGATGTAAAAATATTTAAATATATCCCTGTATCTTTTTATAAAGTTATTTATTTCGTAACACAAATGAAATTAATAATCCATTAAGTAGATGCATAAATGCAACCTACCATACCGTACCTTCCTGTTGCAGTACCCAATAATCTTGTGCAACTGAAAAACTTAACAATATTCAATTAACTTACTTTGAAACGATAAATTATGCATTATTTGCATAAACAACTCGAGATTAAAAATTTGATTTGAATTTTTTACACCTAAACTATTTCAGAAATGTTGAGTGAACTGAATTTGCATTCAAAAAAAAAAAGTGAAATTGCTGAATGCAATTTCTGTGTTGCATTTCTTGCGCTCGCGCCTCCACGCTGAGGCACCCACTCGCGCCTATCAAGCGATTTCGACAATTTCTCATTTTTCACTTCATGAAATAAACTAGCGCGGCGTTGCCAATTCATTTTCACGTCGTAGGTCTGCTGTGTGAACGCTGCCAGACTCAACACAAAACACAAAAAAACGAAAAAAGCAAAAAAGACGCGTATGAATGAACGACCTTGCCAATTAGTTTGCATATTTTCCACTCGCTTAAATGGGTTATTTCGTTTCATACTTTGGAATATTGAGATTCAGATTTTGTTTCAAAGGCGCTGAATCGATTTTTGTTAGATACTTTTTTTTAGACGTCATGAAATATCGATGAATTGCTTTTTTTATTCATTAATGTTTATTTTTTTTTCTACTTTTATAGTGCAATTTTTCTTTTTCTTTGAAGAATTGTGTAAAAAATTAATTTTTTATAGTCTATTGAACCTTTCTTTATAATAAATGTGTCTATTCATGGTATTTCAAATCAAAGCAATAAACTGAAGCAATTTGTATGAATCGCAAATTTAAGAAAAAACTACAATACACATATTTGCAATGTTGGGCAGTTTAGTGAATTAATAAAGTTTTAAGTTATTATATATATATATAAGGTATTAATAAGATGTTTCGATACATTCAATATTCATTAATTATCATTAAATCGAATGGTTGTTACCAGCATTAGATTGGAGTAAAATTATCGCTTTAGAATTTTAAATAAATCACATTGTCGAATTTTTAAATATTAGATTTTATTTTTAAGTA